ATGGGGCAAGGGACAGTCGCGCTTGGTCTGCACTGGGCTCCGCCAACTATTGCCTCGAGCAGGTGGGCCCCGTGGCGCCAGATCTATTATCGTTCAGGGAGCTGGAAATCCTGATTTTGACGGAAATGTCCTCGTATTCAAATAATTAAATACTGACCAGTTCTGCACCTAATTCCAACACACGGGCTCTGGCCCACAGCACCAAGTCTCCGACACCAGCTGGGGCTCCTACGACCTAATTCTGACACTGTCTACCTGGAGATAAAGTCAGATCCCTCAGGGTAAGGGTTCTGTCCCATGACTGTCCCCTGTCCCCACTCAATTCAGACCAAGCATGAGTCCTGATGGTCACCTGCGCTTCTGACGGAGTGGCTGGAGATCGAAGCGTTCCGATGATCCCCTCCTCAACACAGATTAACTTGTTAGAGCAGCTCGTAGAACTCAGAGAAATGTTTTGCTTAGTAGATCACGGGTTTATTATAAAAGGACATAACTCGGGGCACCTGGGTGGCTCAGTCGGTTAGGCGTCCGACTCTTGATTTGGGCTCAGGTCATGATCTCACAGTTTGTGAGTTTGAGCCCCGCATGGGGCTCTGAGCTGACGGCACGGAGCCTGCTTGGGATTCTCCCTCCCTCTCTCTCTGCCCCTCCCTGCCTCTCTCTCTCTCTCTCTCAAAAATAAATAAATAAACTAAAAAAAAAAAAAGACCTAACTCAGAACGGCCAGATGGAAGAGGTGTAGTGGGTGAGGTGTGTGGGAGTGGGTTCAGAGGTTCACACACTCTCTGGGTGCACCACTCTCCCCGACTCCCCACGAGCTCTCCAACCTCAGAGCTCTCCAAAGCCGACCTTCTGGGATTTTATGGAGTCTTTGTTATAGGCACGATTGATTAAACCATGGGCCTTTGGTGCTAGAAAAATCCCCTGGTCCTCTCTGTTCCTCAGCGGTGGGGATAGACTGGAAGCTCCCACTCCCTGATCACCTGGTTGGTGCCCCTGGCCAGCAGCGCCCCCATCTTTGGGTGGCATCCAAAAGTCACCTCATTAATGTAACAAGAGACACTGACCACTCATCACTTAGGGAATTCAAGGGTTTTTAAAGCTCTGTGCCAGAAATGGGATGAAGACCAAATATATATTTCTTATTATAAACCATCATATCACAACACTACATCGCTAATTAGAAAGAGGTTTGCCAGCATGCTGGCCAAAACCAAATGCCGTGGGGCTCCCAGGCTGCCCTTCCCTGGTTCATAAAATGAATTTCCATACATCTGCTCGTTTGACCTCGTCTGGACCTGGGTGAGACTCGGTCTCCCTAATGGAATCTACTGAACGAAGAGAGACAGAGGCTATTATCCCCACTTAATGACGAGAGAAGAGCCCCATCAGGACCCCCCTCATGGTTCACAGTCACTCCAACTCTGCCTGCATGAAAAGCTCATCATCGCCATTGGGACAGTTCATGCCAAAACCACAGCGAGATGCCACTTCATGCCACTAGCGCGGCTAGAATCAAACAGATGGATAATAGCAAGAGTTGTGATGGATTTAAGCAATTGTGATGGATTTTAGTATACCGAGATATACTCAAAACCACCGAATTGTATACTTCAAATGGGAGAACTATATGGTCTGTAAGCTCTATGTCAATAGAGCTGTTACTTCCAAAGAAGGGTTATCAGCTTGCTGTTCATTCACTGACTTGTCAATTCCTCCGATCATTCAACAAGGAAGCTTCTCCTTGGGTGGGGCGAGGAGCTGGAGGCAGAGGCAGGCTGGGTTATCTCCGCTGTGCTTCTGGGCTGAGCCTCAGAGCCCCATCTCCCTACCCAGTGCTGTGGCATCAGGGATGCTACATTTCCTGTGGGTGTGGAAGGAGACCCACCACAGTCAGACGACCCCAGTCATGGTCAGATCTGGAGGAAGGAGAGAACTTGGGGCCTGCCCAGGGTGGCCCCTCTGTAGTTTGTGACATTTATGTGGGAAACTCTGCACCCCTCCATTCCTCCGCTGCAGAGAAGCTGGACATCAGAGAGCTAATGGGGGGTGGGGGGTGGGGGTGGAGAGCCTCATTAGACTGCCCCACCCTCAATGCCATGTTTCAGAAATGCTCCAGAAAAACCCATGCACTGGCCCCATGTTTTGGGTTGGTGGCCAAAGGGTCTGTCCCAATACTGCAAATGTCATGTCCCTGCTGTCTGTGTCCCAGCACCTGGCTTTAGGGCCTCGATTGCTGTTTGTTGAACGAATGAAGGCATAGATCAAGGGAAGTGAAAAGTCATCCGGTTCCTGGGAATAACATACGTGGAGAGTTCACAAATCCGAGGAATAGTGGTGATGTTTATCAGTGGGTTGGAAAGAAAGAAAAATGAGGGACGTGGCCAAGACAGCTGTGTGTGAAGTAAACTCCATTCTTCTCTTCCTCCTGGGCCCACAGGTAGACAGGTGCTTCCCAGCGTCCCTGGCAGCTGGGTGTTAAGTGTGCACCTGAGTTCTCGCCAGCAGGATGTGAGCGGAGATGTTTGCTAGCTCCTGGCCTGGGGCTGTAGACCCTGGGCATGGCTCCCCAAGGCTCTCTGCCTTCTTCTCACAGCCAGAACCCAGACAAGGTGGGCACCAGCTTTGGCCATGTGGGAAATGATGGCAAAGCAGTGATCTGGCGCAACTCCGGGTCCCTGAGTGACAGTGAGGAGCCCACTGTCCTGGGCTTAATCTAACTAGAACAGATGGGAAAAGAAAACGCTACTGGGGGGGATATTATGAGCTGAATTGTGTCCCCCACCACTTCCCCATGTGGGAAGTCCTAACCCTGGTGTCTCAGAATGGGACTGGGTTTGAAGATAACGGTGATTTACTTTAAATGAGGCCATCAGGACGGGTCCTCATCCGATCCAACTGGTGTCCTCAAAGAAGAGGAAATTTGGACACACAGAGAAGGACCCGAGGGATGTACGGAAGAGAAGCCATGTGAAGGGAGAAGGCAGCTGTCCACAACCCGAGGAGAGGGGCCTCGGGAGAAGCCAAACCCACCGACACCTTGACACTGGACCTCAGCCTCCAGAACCGTGTTGTAGAAGCCCCTCGGTCTGTGGTGTTTCGTCACGGCAGCCGGAGGAGGCTCAGACAGGAGACCCACCCGATTTTCTTTCCTCCCTCCCGCCCTCTGCCCACCAGCCATTTACTGGGTTCTCATTTTGTGCGGGATGCTGTGGGCCATAGAGAAATGTATACGGTATGCGTTCTGCCCTCCAGCATCCTACCGCGAGGGAAGCGGACATCCCCCAGCTGGATCCCATGAATATATGCCGAGAAGTCCCCCTCTTCCCTGGACTTTTTAAAGGACACCTGCCTTTGGAATTTTCTCTTTACCTCTCCTTGGATTCTGCGCCTTTCACTTTCCCCTCCCTCCTCCCTCAGAACCTTCTGCCCTTTTCCCCTTGTGTGATATGCGCCCTTCTCGGTTGTAACCTTTCCTGTCCTTACAGAGGAAGGGTCACTTGAGCTGGGGCCATGTGCCCCTGCCAGGAGGGAGCCCTTCGTCCGGCCTTGATCGTGTTCAGCCAGGGCATGCCCTGACCACCTGTGGGATGTGAACTTCTGGGGGAGAGGGACCCAGTCACCTGCAAGCCATAGGTACTCGAAAATAGGAACCAAAGGCATAAAAGAAAAGCCAATAGACCATTTCACATCCAGACACTTCCCTCCCCCACTCCCGCCTTATAACCGCATGCCTAGTGCGGGACATGACATCCGTGGTCTATGAAGACACGTAACATATGGCCAAATGTTTTTGTTGTAGCAACTTACAAGCTGTACGGAATGGGATTCCAAGCTTCCCTTGGATGTTATTCACTAACACGATCTGGCCTGTCCTCCGGGAGATCATGTCGGGGAGCAGGGCTAGAAAGCACAGGACAGAGTCACGGTTACGCATTAGAAACCAAGGCAGACAGCAGTGGGGAGACCCCTTCCCCAGACCCCTTTCATGACGCAGGACCCCACTACCTCCCCAGTCATTCGATTACCCCAAGACACAGGTGGACAGGAGCAAGCACATCCCCTCTCCCGTGTTTCCCAAGAGTGGGCTTGGCTCAACTGGTGATTGCGATTAATGGGTGGTTTTCCGTGACCCACCCATGTGCGTGAAGGGACACGGATCTCAGTGGTGAGAAAGGTCATAGGTCATCCTATTTCAACCCAAGTCTTGCCTTCAGCAGGAAGGCTCATATTGGTCCTAATGTGTCTTCAACACCTCTCTTGCAGGTGCAAATCTTTCAACAAAGAGAGGACAGGCTTCAGCCCTGTGTCTTGGGAGAACCTACCACTTTGTTCTATTTTCAGGGTTCTCCTATTTTTTTTATTTTTTAAAATGTTTGTTGTTTATTTTTGGGAGAGGGAGAGAGAGAGAGAGAGAGAGAGAGAGAGAGAGAGAGAGTGCATGCGGGGGAGGGGCTGAGAGAGAGAGGGAGACACAGACTCCGAAGAGGCTCCAGGCTCCGAGCTGTCAGCACAGAGCCCAATGCGGGGCTCGAACTCATGAACCGTGAGATCATGACCTGAGCCGGAGCCAGATGCTTAACCAACTGAGCCACCCAGGTGCCCCAGGTTTCTCCTATTTATTGAGTGAGAAAATGGTTTTTAATTTATGGTGATATTATGAAGACTTCCCCTGAAAAGAACTGATTTGAAAATGCAGAACTTTAGAGAATGAAATAAATAATAGTTACAGGTGGAATGGGGATATGGCAAAAAAAAAAAAAAAAATCAAGAGACTCAACTTTCAGAATGGCCATTGACATCAAGCCCTTGCATGCCTCAGATGGGTAAACTGAGGCCCAGAGCTAGTGACTGGACTTCAGGTTGGTAAGCAAGTGAGAGACCCAGCCAGGAAGATACACCAGCCCTGGATTTCCCCTTCCACTGTCTGCCTCCTTCACTTCGATGGCAGTGAACCCTGAACTCTCAGAAGCACGGTGTGTCCACAGGGGCTGAACTGGAGCAAACCATTATCTCTGGGGCATCATTTCAGAAGCTCTGAAAAGTTATCTTTCTGCTTCAGATAAGTTTCCCTTCATCTGTCTTAGTGCCCCAGTCCCCATGATCATGGGGACTGGGGCCATGGAGGAGGCAGTTCTAAGATCACGCTTCCTCATCCAGGGAACCCCACATGCTAAATTCAGAAAGTCTCCACTCATACATCCTCCCTTTTGGGATTCTGCTTTGATAAACTTTGGTGGGGGGATGGGGGGGCGGGGCTTGTTGCTTCAACTCTTGGCTCTATTACGTGTCATCTCCAGCCCCAACCCCCCAGGATCCAGACCTGCATTTGACCTTTGGCTGTGAGATATCTTCACACAGGAGCTGCCATTTTGCCCTCAAAAGGGTTTCTGTTCTCCCTGTTTCTGCAAAGGGATTGACACCACATTGGGTCTCTTGTAGTTTGGGATAAACCTTTCTCTTCTATATTTCTGAGGACAGAATCTCTACCCTTGACCAACTGTCATGGGTAGGGACAGATCAAGGGCAAGGGAGATATATGAAAATATAGGCGAAGCATGAAGACAGTGGTCCAGTGATGTGGGAGGAGATTGGTGGGAGAGCCGTGGACAAGAGTAAGAAGAAAGGGGATGAAGGGAGAGCTCAGATGGGGAGGGGGTTTCCCACAGAGGGAGGTTGGAATATACTAGTAAGATACTTCCCAAATCCCTTTTCTTTTATCAACTTATTGTCAGAATGCTGAAAGCTTTCACCAAATTGGTAGGAGTTTTTCTGAGGGGGCTGGAGATTCCATCCACAGTTGGGTGACCATCCGTCTGGCTATATGACAGAGCCCTCCCTAGCAGCCGGTGGCCCCGAAATCTGCAGGAAGGTCAAACTCACGAGACCTTTGGTCAGTGTGATGGGTCCAAAGTAATTGGCATCCATGATCTTCTTGTCGAGCTCCAGAGAAATCTTATGGGCAGGCCCCTTCACCTTCATGCTGGCATTGTTGATGAGGATGTCCACACAGCCATAGCAGTCGAGGATCTCTTTGGCCACATCTGGGACACAGCTGACGTCCGAGAGGTCCAAGAGGACCAGCTTTGGGGTGAATGTCTGCTGAACCAATGAAAGAGTCAAGGCATGTGTGGGAATACCTTGGGGGCCCCCACCCCCCTTTTGAAATTCAGAGCTCATGGAATGACCACAGGGGGAAAAAAATGAGGAGGAAAAAGCAGACGTGGCTCTGGGAGGAAGGAAGCTGTTAGAGATTCCATTCTTGGGTAGCAGAGTCCAGAGGTGCAAAGATGCGTTCATCAGTCTGAACTTTTGGCCAAGGGGCCAGAAAGGATGAATCCAAATGAATACCACCCTTTACAGAGGAGGCCGTGCATGGATTCCAGTGGTGACATCCTTATAACATCTTATGAGTTCCTTTTTGCAAACGGCTTGCCAAGCTCACTTACGAACCACAGGAGAATTTATCATAGTGCTTTTGGAGCTACATTTCCTTTTTGACCCAAGTCTTGCACACAATAGTTTTGGAGCACCATCTGTGTACCAGACCTACACACTTACTGCCATCAAGACTCTCATGGTCTAGGGGCACCTGGGTGGCTCAGTCGGTTAAGCGTCCGACTTCGGCTTGGGTCATGATCTCGCGGTTTGGGAGTTCGAGCCCCGCATCGGGCTCTGTGCGGACAGCTCAGAGCCTGG